TTTTACTGCGAACTAACGCACAAGTGTGATGGTCTGACGAAAGTGAGCTTGACTCCTCTCACTTATGAGAGAACCCTAAAGCATCTTGTAATAGCGAGACTTTTTTCAAAGAATAGTAACTTTAAGTCTTCAATCATTTCAAATATATGTGCTTAAAATCTCCTCTTGCAATGATCTTTTATCAGAATGAGAAAGAAAGGCGATGGACAGTTTCGTGTATTGTGTTTCTATTCCTTTCAGTGATGGAATTGAAGGCTTCTTGGAAAACATTACGTGATTCGAAAAGGAGGAACTCTCTTCAACCCAATCATTCCGGTAAACCATGGATGTACGAAAAGGATATGGAATTTATGGATACTCCAGGAAAAACAAACAACTCGTAAGTGACTTCGCGACCAAACTTAAAGTGAATTAACCTCTCAACTCTTTGTTTATCTCAGAGTGCAATTTTCTCCGCACGAAAGTGATTCAAAAAGTGGCATAGTGGATAGTCCGGAAGGTTCTGCCACTCCAGAAAATGAAGGAACAACGGAAGAAGCAGCAAGTGCTGCAGCGTCCGATGAAGTGAATGATGACTACTTTGTTCCTGCTGAAATTGGACAGGAGAGTGCAACAGAATGTTCGGAACCTTCTAGGAAAAGAAGCTATGGAGGAGGTGCAGTGTCGAAAAAGAAGAAAAACGATTCACTGCAAGAAGGTACAAATTTTGTCCGTAGAGCGTTTTTATTTCCTTTTTTTTTCATAGCCAATAGAACTTTGAACAGTTGTTTGATGGTGAAATATAAGATTCACAAATTGATGTTCTGCCAAAAATGGGAAGTTTCTGGTTTCGTTGTGATGGCCAATATAAAAGTTCTTCAGAAAAATTAACTATTCACAAAGCTGTATTCCATCATCCTATTGTTTTTCGCGGCCATGCCAATATAATCATTGTTTATTCTAGGCCTTGATATGATTCGAGAGATTACTGCTTCATTACGAGAGCGATTGTCAGCAGCAAGTATGG